CTTCTTTACCTCAAGAAGCATTCTGCGCTGTGCTCTTGCAGTCATTTTTACAGGACGACCACGCCTAGGGAGAGTAGCAACAGTGCTAAACTTTCTCCATTTGTAGACAGTCTGTCTTACCGTGGACACATGAACATCAAGGCTTTTGGAGATACTTTTGTAACCCTTTCCAGCTTCATGCAAGTCAACAATTCTTGATTGTAGGTCTTTTGAGAGCTCTTTTCTGCGAGGCATGGTTCACATCAGACAGTGCTTCTTGAAACCAGTAAACCCATAACAGGTGTGTGTTTTTAACGGGCAGGACAGTTGTCAGCAACACATCCAATATCATTACACTGATTGGAGTCAAGGTTGGCTCCCTCCTGGCTCCAATTAGCTCTTGGAGACGTCATTAGGCTAGGGACTCACATACTTTTTCCTCCCTGCTCTGTGAATGTTTACATGTTATGTTCAATTAAACCATGGCAACATGTAATGTTTGTGTATTATTATTTTCAGCAGACTGTGTTTTTCTATTGTTGTGACTTAGATGACGTTCAGAGCACACGTTATGACCAATTCATGCAAAACTCTGCGTTATCCCAAGGGGTTCACATACTTTTTCTTGCAACTGTATGTTTCCAGCTCACCCGCCACAGTGCAAAAGAAAGAATTGTACGCTTCCTTAGATGTGTCAACGAAGGCAAATGCAGCCTTAAGATGCATCACAGTCTACAGCGGGGAGAGCCACACTTACGTCATCTTGTTTGCAACCATGAGATACATCAGAGTCTACAGCGGGGAGAGCTGCAGTCTCGGTGTCTTCTTTGGAAAAGCGAGACTAACAATACATGAAGGCCACACCGTACCAAGGTTAGAACTATGTGGTACCACTTTGGCTGTAAAGCTCACCAACTTGACAGCGAAGATGTTGTGCCTTGAACTACAGTCTACCACCTTCTACGCAGACAGCAAGAAGATGTCAAGCTACATCTACAAACAAAGCAGACATTTCTATGTCTATGTAGGTAACAGAATGAAAAGAGTTGAAACATCTTTGAGCCCTGAACAATGGCAACAGGTGCCAACAGGTAACAACTTGGTGAACCAAGTGAAGTGGCCCAACCTTGCCACACAGTTAACAGAATTGACCTGGCTAGAAAGTCCTGAGTTCTTGGTCTGTTCAAACAGACAAATGCCACAGAGACCAAAATGCTATGTATTTCCAACTCCAGATCAACGTGCCAACCTCCAACTTCAGGCACCCAGTAAACGTCAACCAATCCACTTCAAACCCCTGACTAAGCGGAAGCACCTGAGATTAGGCATAGTTTTGATCATCTTGATCACTTGTCTTAGCATCCCAAGAATGAACCTTATAGGAGTCTGCAAGGACCTACAGACTATTGAAGACATTTGCCATGACCCAGTGATTGACAAATGCCTGACAGCCAAAAATTGCCTTCCCCATACATCTCACATGGGCGAAGCACGCATAGGCGAAGCGTGGGAGCACATGATTGGTGCACCCCGCAAATTCATGGACTCTATGTCGTTAAAGACTCCCACACCCACACATGAAGTCCTCACTACCCTGATGACAACAGTAGCAGCCATCTTCAATACTCCATCGGTGGTTCCAGATACTTCAGTTCCTGAGTATCCTGAGCCTTCAGTTCCAGCTGTTGTTCCTGATCCTTCAGATCCAGCTGTTCCTGAGTTTCCAGATGTCCCTGATCCTGATTCTTCAGCCCCAGCTGTTCCTGTGTTTCCAGATCCAGCTGTTCCTGTGTTTCCAGATCCAGCTGTTCCTGTGTTTCCAGATCCAGCTGTTCCTGTTTTTCCAGGTTCTTCAGTTCCTGAGTATCCTGTGAATCCAGTTCCCTTTGTTCCTGAGAAGCTTTGGGTTCCAGTTTTTCTGTTCCAGATTTGGTTCCAGTTTCTTTTACAGGAAGAAGACCTTGTCTCACTTAGAGACAAGAATGTACACCAGAACTATTGGCCCATGGGACTTGCGCACCGGGCCCACTTTACCAAGCTGAGGTCCAGATCGTGAAGCCACGTGAGTCAGGTCGTGACTCAAAGACACTTGTACCAGGCTGATCACTGATTTGGTACCGTTGCTGATGAAGACTGAACCAGAAGATCAAACCTCAAATTATGTATTGTGTTTATGCATTGTTTGATGTAACACTTGCTTATTTTTTGCATAATTGTGCATGTTTTATATTTACTTTATAATTATGCACGTTTGATACCAAGTTTTTACCTATTTAGTCACAATGTGTATTGCATGCTTTAATGCTATATTTTTTGCTATTCAGTTAGTTAGTAGTGGAAATTTAAATTTCCAAGCGGGGAGTGTTCTGGACCCTGGCAGTTATTGGGTTAAAGGCTGGGTTTGTCTTTAGGTCAGTGGGAGGAGTTTCTAAAGGGCATTGGGAGACTTCCTGGACACTAGCCACATGGGGGTTCTTTGTTCATCTTGTTCATGGCATCCAGCCACACGGCTGGAGATCCCATAATCATCCCAACATGTGACGCTTAGGCAGAAGAGGGGAAA